GATCAGTGGTAAACTCATTATATTGGCAAAAATTGTCAGGTATCCAACCTACGCATTATCATTTTAGCGAGAAGGTTAAATTGAAAATGCCTACCAGAACCATACCAAATGGAAATGTCATTAACAGTGCAAATGTGAAAAATGTCACTTTATGTTATGTTGATATGCGACTGTTCATCATGAAATTGATACTTGCTGTTTACAATGTCTACGTGTGAATATGTATTTTTAGCTTGAAATTTCCACAAAAGTACTATACAATCAGTTTGAATCTACCTCCTCTTCTAATGCCTGCAGAAAAACATGTATTGTTGGTGGTTGAGATAGCTAATGTGTGACAGTGTTGAATCTTGAAACGATTTGCCACAACGCCTACACACACATAGGTATGGCTCCAAACAGATCAGACACCTGGTCTGTCCACATGTCATACACACCTTGATTTGTTTCGAGCAAATATCTGTTATACTCGGATATATGACAAATAGATCAAGTAGATATTTACCATTGTAGATAGCTTTCACTTTTGACCAGAAAATAGGATGAATCTACGTCTGTGTGTTGACCACAAGTATGTTCATTTCTGAGACAAACACTTCTGTCAGCGTTGCAAAGTTGACAGCATCTGTGCAACTTACATTGTCATTTTCATTCAACAACGAAGAAGACTGGTACTTGCTTTTTCCTTTCCATATCGAGGGTGGTGTAAAAGCATATCATCCTATAGCTTAGAATCCCTTTTTTTTAAGCTTAAAGATTAACTTATCGCCATTGTTTTCATTGTTTCAATATCAACTATCCTGAGAAGTAGGTGTTTGACAATGTTGACCTGAGGCTGTTGTACATGTGAATTACATTTCTGTGATATAATCAGTCCTCTCATGACATTATACAAATTAATCATGCAAACTGGTCATTTCACACTTCCGGGATACACAGGTTTGTACACAGGTTTGCCCAGTAAACGTTTCACAGACTTTTATGTCAATGGTTGTGGTTTCCTTGTTACAGTCCCGGTATTCATAGTTTATATTAGCTTTGCGCTTACTCATTTTAATGTCTTTGTGTTTGTACCGCACTGAAAATAGGGATCTTGATTTCCAATATGTTTGTGGTCTGTGGATGATCAGTGTATACAACTAGACCTGTGGCGAGAATTTTGTTTCTATTCACTTTCTCAAACCGACGAATAGGTGATCGTAAACAGTCACGCAAATTGCACGTTAATTCAAGTCAGCATAGTTTGCAATATTGTAAGTGAAGAAGTTAAACAGAAGTGGAGGGACGAAATGAGAATTCATAGACTTGTGTCTTGACTTTGCTCAAGCCTAATCCCATTTCATCCAGAAATGCTTGCCAATGGTTGTGGTGATTGTGCAAGCGTAATTTAGCTCCTGTGTGTAGGAATCAATTCACACTTGCAACGCGATCGACCGAATATCTCCTTCATCTAGGTCGGATACCTGACCTCACTATCCCCAGTCTATAGTTCCCAACGAGGTGAGTGATGTCAGAAAGGCAAACATGACAGAAAACTCATAGATTCTTGATCATTTCAATCTTGAATCCTCACCTCTTGAAGCGGTACAGCAGAAATATGAGGAGTAATGCAGATTCATACTCATACAGCTGATTTCCACTTCTTTAGTGTTTCAAATTAAAAACATCTGGATATCGTTTGGAATAAGGTTAAAGTGATTTGTACTATTTCACTCATTTCATTGGTGACCCTTATAATTTGGAAGTACTTACATCTACTGCTACATATTCCTGAAATGAAACTAACTCATTCTCTTCGTCGAATTTTGCAATTTTTACTTGACCGGTCATTCTGTGTACACAAACAACATTTTCAACTTTGCTTCGAAATTCATGTCCTTCTTTAAAATACCCTGTTTCACAGAATAGAATGTTAGATGGTCCGGTGATATTGGGTTATGCATGAAATTAAAATGTTTATGGACTAATCTGAAGGAGACGTCCTACTGACAATGTAATCCAGTCTTCGTGAAATGAACTATTTATCAGCGTCAAGAAATTAAGGAGACCCTTATAATAATAATGACAATGGTAATAATGATCCAGATTGTCATATAAAGTGACTTCCAGTAAAAAAGAATTTAGAAAATCAGTTCGTTTTCTGTTCAAGTGTTGTTCTTCTTCACTTTTGAATTTCTTCTCAAGGAACATTCAAAAGTACTGTCAAGTCTTGACAGTCAGAAGAGTAAACCTGAGGTGGAGTCAAAAATCCAAGATTTGGTCCGAAAATTCTGGAGAATTCAAATATTTGTTCATCAACATGCTGAGGAGTTGAAAGCACAGAAGCATATTCATCAACTCTATAGGTAATAAATTAGGCTTATTTCCATCACTCTTACTGTATACTGAATACTCACTCCATTTTATGTTGGATGTTGGGTTTCGGTGATTCTAGCCGAACCCTTCTTCAAAGCTTTTATTTATAGGGATAATTCAATCATGTAACAAAGTGACAAGTAAGCCTAGTGGAAACCAAATTAAGCAGAACATGTTTGTAGTACGAATTCCAGTAGGTTAGTGTGAAATGAAATTTTAGACTAAATTGAAGTTTTCAGCTTCTAAGAAATCGGATTGTGAGGAGTTGGTATTGAATTTTAAAAGAAGAATCTTCCGAAGTGTACTCACCTCTGAGTGGACGATTGTCAATCACCGATGATTAGGGCCATAAAAATCGTCATCTTCTAGAGAAAATGGATTAGGTTAACGTTCGATAATCAGAAGGGCATTAAGCATTTATGATACTGGAACAAATCAGTTGTTACAGAAAGTGTGTTCAAAGCTGTATCCATGTCAAAATATGTATTTGATATTGAAATGTAGTACTAACTAGCATAATTAATGTGAGATCACTCAGGCTGACGTGCATATTTTTTAGCGAGTAAGAGTGATTTCAACGTTGGATGGTCTTCTCGCTCGTTGCATCACTGTTGCATAATGCAAACACTTGTAATAACGAACCATCCGCGTACGAGCCCATATACCAATAGAGACCAGTCAACTCGATCCACTCAACGACAAGACAGTGCAAGCAACAACATCATAAGTATACTCATCGCACAAGAATTAGCTATCGCGAGTCGATTATCTAGTGGCTAATACTCTGCCGTTTGAAGTGATCGGTCGTGAGCTCGAGTCATTGTATAATAACATAGCTCACTGGAAGGCAGGCACATCCAGCTGACTTGTCCCGAAAAGAAGGAAACGCGTGTCTTGTATTCCACCGCTGGCCACTGTTCACAATTTCTATATTATATAAAATGTTATTCAGACAATCCTTGGAAACCATAGGGAACTAAAAAGCACTTTTTCAGACATCCTTACTTGATCACTGTTTGTGGTTTTTTGGACTATATGTCTTTTTATCTTACACAGTAATCATCTATTCATTGCTTTCTGCATTTGATCACTGTCTTTTGAGGATCAGGTGTCATATGCCTGTTTTTCATGAATTGCGCGCATACAACTAATAACAGTTAGCTGATAGTTTGTCAAGTATTTACCATACTAACAAATTACTTCTTATACCCGTTAAGATCAGTGGCTCAATCCTGTGAGATTCTCCTCTGTATTTCTGATAATAGAGAGAAAGTGAAAGCAAGCAGACTGAACAGCAAGTCAGTTCAGCGGTTTGTCGCGATTGACTGCTTTCAAGGCAATATACATCAGCGACTTAAATCAACCACAGAACCACTGATAACTTGAGATATTCTAGACAACTGGATTCCCACTTAGCGGCTTAATTGCTATGTGCTCCTTGAGAGACCCGGGTTCAGTCACTAAAGGACTGATGGCAGCAGCCTAATGTGAACGTCCATACTAGGACAAAGTATTTTTCACTGCTTCCAAGTTTTCAACGGTTCTACGATTGTTGTCAGTACATGATGAATAATATTTCGAAGGAAAACTGTGTGGTGTTCTCTGAACTCCGTGGTTGCTTTTGGACATTTCATCGTCGTTATAGACTAATTAACTTGCATCAATTCAATAAAGTCTTAACCATAACCCCTATGGAAAGAGAGCCATCTCTATGTGAACAGAATTTGAGTACTTATTCACTGCACCCGAACAATTTACGAGTCCATATGAATCCCCGAGAAGATTTGACTCAACAGTTTCACGAATATTAGGCACCGAGTGAAAATGTTGACATTAGATATAAGTTGTATTTACAAGTCTGGTTCTAAAGACTTATCTCTTACTGACATCTTGTCCTTTTGAGTCTCTTATCAAGATATACTATTCAGTTGTGAGGAAGTCTAGTTGAAATGACTTACTTTACAAACAGACTGCAGATTACAGGAATGAAAACAAAGGATATCGTGTTTATGCTGAGCATCCATTACGTGTTCAGGATTTTTATTCAGATTGCATGAGTAACTTCCAGTTAGCAGCTGTACAAATGAACAGTGAAAGTAAAGAGAAGACGGTGGTTTCAGCTGGATCTGATAAACTGGTCCCCAAGTTACTCGAATGCTTGTCGATCGATGTGACCAAGAAAGTAGACCACCAACTAGGTAGTAGAGACTTTTATGCTACTAGTTTTTGTAGGTTCGTCTTTGATGGAGGTGAGAGAGAAACACGTATTCTTTCTCGATTACACTGATCATGCAGTCAGTAAGCTGATTTTGAGAAGCAATGAAATGGATGGTTATCAGTCAGCTCAGTTGAATGTGCGACGAGTCGGTAAACAAGAAACAGTTGCTCTGAGTCCTCCTCGAAACATGAAGTCGTTATAATTTCACTTATCACAACCAGACAGAATCCCTTGAATAATAAGTACTCATGAAACTGATACCTTTGGTTTCCAACATTTACTATACGGAGAAACTCGTTTTGCTACGGTTTTGATTCTGAACCTTAATTTTTCTCCGATCATCTGAAATTCTTCAGGACTCGGACCAAATTATAAAAGGATTTCAGCACATATTTGAAAAGGTTATCAATACTTGTTGTGCAACAAGTCAACGTCGAACGATAAAGTGTCACGCGAAAGGACAACTAATGACGAAGACGGTCAGTTCACTGAAGTGGAGTTGTCAACCGATATTGGTGTCCACTATCGAATACCCAGAAAAATTCTGAATGATTTACACACATCGGTTAATGAGCTACGTTATGATTTAAACAATTTGGATAGCAGACTGAGTAAACGTACAGATCGTTTGAATATAGGCTATCAGTGTTTCATGCATCTTGCTGAGTTCGCTGAGTTACGCGGTTGGTTACAAGAATGTGAAGATCTACTGCTGTTAGAATCCAGAGCTAGTCGAGATACAACAACAGCGAAAACTGAGTTGAAAAAGCATGCCAACATTGAATTCCGAGTGAATAATTTACTGGCGAATTGTGCTCGAGAATTCAGTAAGTTTCCAATTTACCTTCAGTTTGTTTTGGTTTTTTATCAAATTATCGACTGACTAAAGATGTTTTAATGCAAATACTTCCTTGAAAGGATCACCGGTGGTGGAACTGTCAGTGTGTGACTCCCTATTCATTATCTGGAGTCAAGTTCTGAAATGAGTGGATGGTGATAATAGTTTGAATTTGATCAAAGTGTTCAGCTAATCGCCTAATACAAGACGTTTACAGAAAACTTGTTATTTAAAAAAGTAGACAACTTATGCACTTCTTCATGTTAAATACACCACGTAAGTTGGGTGGTCATGAATGCTTTGTGGGTGTTGGACTTTTCACTTAGGACGATATCCCTCAAACTTATAATTTTTCAGGACATTAAGAAAAGCACTTGAATGCGGCTTACTTTGAAATAAAAATCAGCAGAACATTCATTTTTCACTAATTTAACAGCTAATTGTAATCAGCCTTATCATGAAGCAAGGGAAATCTTAGTCTCTGTAATTATGCCTACCATCTGCAGTATTCACATTCAGAGGACATGTGTAAATTGGGACATATTAAATGGAGATAAGATCTGGAAAACCTCCAGTGGTTGCTTATTTCTACATATGTTCATTATCAAGTTAAGTACTCATGAAATGTTCCACTCCCTGGACAACTTGTCCAAGACATATGGATGATACTTTTGATATCAGTCAACTGAATAGTTTGCTTGTTTAAAATTAATGTATCTTCATTCGTGAACTTTCTGTGATGCTGACAGCGTGACATACATAGATCAACTCAGTAATTCGTCATGAATTAACCTGCTTATGGGAATAAACACCGACTTTGTTAAGAAATAAATGAGACATAAGTTCAGTTTGATCAATTCAAGAAGCTCCTACAACCAACACCATGTGAATGAATATAAGCATAGTGAAGAACCTCTTCTCAGGCAAAGCGGAACATATGAACAGTCCTTATGGAATAACCTGAGAGACTATTCAGTGTGACCCACAATTTCAACAGAATCTTCTACATAATGTAAGTAAATACTTACCTTACAATTTTGATGCTTTGCTAAGACAAGTTTAGGCGTAAATTCCATCAAAAATTATCTATTTGATCAATACCATGATTTGGTGAAAGGCAAAATGTCTTCTCAGTGCAAATTATCCTCAATGAATGCAACCCCCATTTTTATGTTACTGAATGTAAGGACATGAAATTAGCATTCCTTGCTTCGTTTTGATTTCTAAGAAGAGATAATTTGAGTAGAGTAAGTTAGTGTTTTCACCTGTTAGCGAAATATTTGAGCTTTCAGCTTCAGTGTACCAGATAACATTCAGCATTTTTATCAGACAAGTCATGAGTAGTTATTTCACGTGATATTCTTCTGCAATGAAACAGTATCTGTATTCAAACTATTCTCACCTAGTAACTTTCTTAAATGATTGCAGAGTACTGCAAATAAAAATCATGAGCTTTGTGTATGACTGATGATAGTTTTTAGTCAAAATTCATGTGACATGAAAAGACGAACTCCTATTCCTATATTTCCAAATAACTTCATTAGCCCTTTCCGTAAATTTCTATATAAGTATAGGTAGTTCGACAAGTCCATGTATGATCAGAATGTTCGAAATGTTTGGCGCTAATACACCACATCTTTCAGATAATCCTCGTCTTCTCATTATCTGTTTACAAACCAGTAAACAGATTTTTGAATAAGACTGATTGTATAAATCACACTAGACACCCTCAGTGCAGTGACGTGAGGTGGAGTAGCATTTATCTTCATCCGAATTCAGATGAAAGCAGTAGATGAAGTTGTTTATACATTCCATTCAGAGTTTCACTCTCTGATATAACCCTCAGTGACACACTGATGTCACTTCTCTGATATATCGACATCATCTAGTGTTCATCAAAATTGAAAAGTACTTTTCAAACTGTGGCTTACAAGCTTGATCCAGTCGGACTCAAACGACGGGTGATTATCTGCCTAACATCTAACAGACCAGGTTGGCCAGTGACATTCTGAGATTGAGGAGAGCTATTGATTTAAGGGTCTCGGTTGAACTCTTATAATTGGGAAGCATGAGCTTCTTGGTGTGAGTTCATTATAATTGCAATTACTTTCTCCGCCAGAAGTTCTTTAGAACGTCGAATAGAAGATGGACAACATTACCTGGTGGTTTATCAGATAACAATTTAGTTGTGTCGAAGGAGTAATGCCAGTCTCTGGCAGTTTATCAGAATGAGTGGGGCTCACTAAGTTCATGATATAAAATGCAGCAATTACGTGCGTCTATTAATTCCCTGGTAAAATATTTTAATGCATACTTAGTTTAATCATCCTAAAATCAATGTTTCACCTACAAATATGAACTCTGAATACAACAAGCTACATGGACTCCTGTGTCAGAAAAGTACAGCATATAAAATGAAATTTACATGCCAATATGAAATCAATATGGGAATAACCGTTATTCACTACCTGAATTTATTTAAATGTGGATTTACGTTAATTTCGGAGCTTTAATTATTCATGAAACCATAGTAAGTAGGGATAGCGGTAGGAGAAATGTTCCGACATTCTAGTATTTCTCCAGTCATATTTAACCTATCCAACCCTCGAATTGGTATCGTTTCATGGCAAATTGAAGTACGTTTGTCAAGGAAACAGTTGGTAGTCTGATAACAGTTGCACATTACGGCAGAAATAAAGGGAAGTAATTTATTTTATTTCCACAAAACTATAATATGCAATACGTATATATCTCATAATGCAACAATACAGTAATACAGTAAGTATTATTATGACACAATTCATCTAGCCATATAGCATTAGGAAATAGATTTTTCATTTAGTATAAAAATTCTGATATTTTACTGTTTTCTACTGATAACTATGCATACTGTGTAGTTACCAAGGGTACGTTCCCTTCCAGGTGATACATATGTTGAGTACTCAGTGAGCGTAATCAGAAGTCAGGTATGCCGTTGACATGGAAAATCTCTTGAAACTTCTGAATAATCCAAATCATTTGAACATGTGCCATGCAGTACTGTACCTACCTTAGCTATTCAACCAAAAAGTGAATTGTGAATAATGCAACAATGATTTAAGGGTTGAAAAATGAGATTCTGGTATAGAAACGGAACACTTCAGTGCCTTCGATTTCATACGATAAACTGACTGTACAGTTGGTCACTCTTGAGTAAGCTGCTACAACAGTAATCTTCCTAAGCGTGACCATTAAGGAAATAACCCTTACCCTTACTACACTAACTTGAGTGCAGTGAGACGGACCAGTGTGACAAGTGACAGTTTCATGGGTCTTTCAGCAACCTTTTCATTTCACGCAAAGCTTTCATGTGTACACAGAGTTTGAACTTCCATATACTGAGATTTACTTCACACAGCGTTTACTTGTGAGTCAATGAAGGTCTTGAAAAACAATCCCAGCATTCTTGAAATTAGGTCTATATTGTAATATAGTCATTTCTGGTGCATATGTATTACACTCAGAATGTAGATGTTCCCAGTGAATAGTACTCTGAACTAGGGTCTCATCTTCACAAAGAAGGTGCGATGCAATGATATTCACCTCTGTCTAGCATGACATTGAAACCTGTGGCAGCTGAAATCCACTCTGGACATAATACAATATTCTCTCTTTTAATGGTTCAATTATCAGTGGGAAATAAAACAGGGTATTTGTGGCAGTAGAAGAGAGCTTGTGAAATTATTGTTTTTAATATGAATTCACAATTTGCGAAATCTTCCATTTATTCCTAAGATGAACAAAAGTAACTTAATACTGTAAAAAACATTCGTCAAATTGTTGTTCCCTTTTCCCACTTTCCGTAATCCACTAGAACTGGCTGAATCAACAAATTATTATGGCTTCATCGACATACACTGGTCGCAATCTCAACGAATGCGTGCGCATAATCAATCGGTTCGTCAATTTTGGTGAAAATCTTCTAGGTGAATGTTTTGCAAGGTTTGTAGAAGGAGAACTACGCTCACTGGATCCTATTTCATTATCACCTGAATTCACCGTGAATATAACTGATCAGTTTGTACACTCACCAGGTTTTGCTGTTGAACGCATTGCAAGAGTAATGAATATGTGCCGATGTTTGATATGTACAAAACATTCGGATTCACCACGTATTGCATTTTGGCAAGACATTCTACTAGAAACGTGGGCTGATTTACGTGAATTAATTCATTCCAGAGTGAAGTTGCTAGTCTCTACTGCTCATCGATTTATATTCATCACTCGCTGTTCAGTAAGTTCGTACTCCCTCCCCTCTGTCACCCTGTGTATTTGTTGACCGCAGCTAACTGTGCAAATCATTGAAGGTGTCTTGTGTAAATTTGCGTTATCGTCGATGCATATCAGACTTGGGCTTTCAACTTTCACGATTCCTTTTATTCTTGTCGTCAAATTATTCATCAAAAGAATGAAAAAGAATGAGTTTATGTGCGAGAAATTGCACATGCTGTTCAGTGGCCCTTTTCAATATAATAGGTTGATAGATTAGCCTAGTGGCTACCAGGAAGACAGAGACAATGTATTTCGGCAGACAATATCAACTGTGAAAAATCGGTTAGATGTGCAGTGATCAGGAATCTCAGCCTGGTTTAAGACGTGTTTTGACCCAGGCATTATGGAGTAAATAACTGATTCAGCCTTTAATTTGAAGCGGTAAGGTTTCGCTTGTAGTACAGGAGTTGACAGTAGTCTGGTGAGTGACCCTCCAGTCGCATCTGAATCATATGTAAATTCATGACCTACAATTCTGTTTTCTCTCCACAAATGTTAGTTGCACTGCTGATGCGTTCAGTTAAACAGTTGGATCTATGTGAATCTGAAAGCTTTGTTATATGTGTGCGAGACATTTCGAACCATTCGATCGCTCATTCACTTTGTGAGATATTTTCTGTGAAACACACAAATGAATCGAGATTAGGAGAAGAGCTGAAGGTAATAAAAGGCTTGGAATAATGACTTTCGTTGTTATTTTGAATAATTTGTTATTGGCAAAAGCTTTCACACATTTGAACGAGCGGTGACCGCTGTGCACTGACTAGATTCTTTTCATGTTTAAAATTGAACGCCTCAGAAAGGTTAGTGTTGTTGCTACGAGCAGTTGCTTAGAACTGCTGTTAGCTACATTCCGAGTATTACATGTAGAAATTCTGGTTGCTGATTTATCAACTAATTTCATCTTCGTCTGATAATTGTTAGTGATTTCATGGCAATATTGACCATGTAAGATAACAAAACACACCAATATGTGAAACTGAATATTACAAATTCCAATTAGATCATCGTGTGACTGATAAATTGGCAGAAGCCCACTGTCTTTCAACACACGGTTGACACGAACAGCTGTCAGTGAAGATGTCAGTAGATAGGGAGTTCATTTGGAAACATCACTACCGAATGCACTGAAAACAGAGTTGTTAGGGTTTATCTGAATGAATCCGAGTAGTTGTACGACAGACATACTGAATGTGAAGGACAAAGTGTTGACGAATTAACTAGTGAGATAATCAGTCCTTCTGAAGTTTTCAAACAGATGTAGAAACAAAGCCATTGGAACATATTCTCTGTTTGGTTCTGAAAAAGAAGTTGTATGTGTCTGTTGCAGATGTGAACAGTAAGCAACATGATTTTCCTATGAAATCTCAGTATGCTTTGTAAGAAGAGAAACTGTTTTATGTTACTGTCTCCATTGATTGACCAGATCTCCACAGTTTTTCACTGCCAACTGTGATGTTGAAGTTTTGTACAATCGTATTGGATAATCCTAATATCTCTTAAACACTGCATTCAATAATTTTCCAGAATCCTATGAACTAAACTTTTGCACAATTTCAATCTCAAGAGTAGGCGAATGCAGAGACAACTGTTGACATTCAAGTTCATGCAATCACTTGGTGTGAATATGTCTCGTGGGGTGGGTGGAACAGTGTATTTGAGGGTATTTGAGGGCAAATACGACTTCTACGAAAATACGTGTTCACTCAAATTCTAGTCCCTTAAGATGCATTGTGTATACAGACTAGTCGAATTTGTGAAAATTCACTCTTCAATAATATCTGTAACAAGGGATCCACGATTTGTCCATTTATCAACGTAGATATTAGTTTAGATGTCACTAAAATGGCATGCACTGGGAGGACTAGTCAACCATATTCTTGCATTCTTGGATAAGCCATTGCAAGCAAGTACTCAACTAAATTGTGAAAGCACATTATTCCTACCCTGATATTCTTCAATAATACACAATTTATTAGAAGCCCAGCTTTTATCCGGAAACACCACCTCACCCACCTCACCCACCTCACCTTGCCCTCATTTCACATCAATTAGCCTTATTACTTCGTTAAAGTCCATCCCACTTATAGGCCTAATTTAAAACGCCTTCATGAGTGCACTGTGTAAACAAATCAGATTTTCGAAGTAGACTACGTCTTAACCCCACGTAATAAACTTAGCAAAGTTACAAGCTGACTAACGTCAGTAAAGCAATGCCTAACGCATATTTCATGACCTTGTTGGGTCAGGTTTCCTTTCTTAGCATAACTTATCTGGGTTATTCGACACAGAGTTCGAAGATGGGGTCGTGTTACCAGCGTATTCCACCTTCCTTTAGCTTAACTCGGTGAACACATCGTGAAGGTTATCAAATGGAATTTTGTTTACCACAACAGTCTGGTGTACGGAATTGGTCTATGTCCCGTTACTAAATGCTAGGCATATTCAAACAGTTCATGTTCACGCTTCATCACAACTTGCAATTATGTCTCATGTTCATGAAAATCACTTTCATTGCTTAAGCGTAAACTAGAATAATATTGGGATTAAAAATCATTGGCAGTGACTTCCAGCATAATTAGGCTTTCAGGGATTTCGATTATTGCTTGAATAAAGAAATCTTAATGCAAAAGAAGCGTCATGCAGTACAAAGTGCTCCATAAAATCTGTAAGATGTGCTGCTGATTAGCCAAAGTGTTTTTCGAATTAAAATATTGTCTTCTGGTTATGAGGAGAACTTTATAACGTATTACTGGAATGATGATCAAATCTGAAGCGAAAGTGCGTTTCAAGTCAGAGTTCCAACACATGACCTCCAAATCGTGCCATGATTTAGATGCTGATTTTAACTTCCGTCATTACTCCTTTACACAGAAGGGACAGTTTGCTAAAGTGTGATTACTGCAAGTATTCCAACCTACAACTTATAACTGATTTTTCTTGATTGAAGGAAACTCTTAAACTGGTTCAGGAGAAATTCGACCAATTATCACAGTCAACTGGCAAGGATGTTCAAGTCATTTGCAAACAATTGTCACTGTTGTCTGCATTCGAACAGGACGTACAAGCCCTGCAACCATTGGTAAGTCACTAGGTCGTCATTGAATTCACTGTGTAAAATTAGTTAGTTATCAGTTCTATTAACAGCATGCAAGTTGAAGAACATGCTGCGTGTGATCGAAATTTATCTGTTAAATCAACTTGCCAAATAAGCCAATTAAAATTAAACTGAATCATGTCATCTTAGTAGGGAAGCATCATACAATGCTTAGTTACTGTAGTGACTTCAGTGATACTACTTGTTGAGGAATAAATCTCTTAAAACAACTGAACTTGAAGCGATTACTTGAAATGAGATTCTTCAGCATACGTCCATCATTAATACATAGATCTGCATAGTGCTCGTTGCCTATTTTGATACATATCGGGTGAGTATCGTGTAGTACTCAGGGTGACGTTTACATTTGCTCAATCAGTTCATTTTGGTCGCAGAGGAAAGTTGTACCACCTTCGCTATACTCTGTGTTTTGTCGACTTGTCACTATGAAGAATATCCGCATTACTCAAACACAACAGCTGAATTCGAATGATCAGTAAATGCTTAACCTCACTTCATGATTCATTAGAACTGGCAGAACTATATATCACCAATGAAGCAGAATCTGGGAATGAAGTCTTCACAGTGATTGCATAGAAAAAAATGAATGGGTAAATGAATATCTTTACTCTCCGAAAGTAGAAAGGAATTTTTCAAGTCGGTATTCATCATAGACTGATATGAGTTGGAGGAACGTTGGAAACCTGGGAGCAATGGACAGCTGTTTCTTCCTCGTTCGAGAGTCTTCAGCAGTGCGAACTAGCGCTCAATGGTGACTAGCTTCTAGAGGTGATTCCCGAAGTTCAAGTGAGAAGTCGTGATCAGTGGAGCAAACCTGGTGGCCATGAGGACAAATACTCAGTGATGACATTGGGTGGCGTTCACACTATGTCGTGAACTGACAGAAGTTGAAAATATGGACCATTAGATTCCAGCCTAGTGACTTCATGGTAACGTGCTGGCCACGGAACTTGAAAGTCGCGGGTTCGATCCCTGGCGGGGTGGTGGGTGAGCACTGTTGAGGAGCCCTACACCAGGATGAAACAGATCTCCAGTGCCCTCAACTTTCCAATGTTCCTCCAACCGATGTCAGTCTATGATGAATGCCAACTTGAAATAGCTCTAAACCCCCACAAGCCCCCAAATCAAATTAAAAAGCAATTGCTTCCTACCATACTTTGAAGTCTTACAGATCTATTTTCAATAGGCTCCCGTTACAAGCTTCGACAAACCGAAAACTGATAATGGTGACGGACTAACCGTGACACTTTGAAAAATAAGTGCGTTTGACTAACAACAGAAGCTGTGATATAAGAATAAGCTGTTTAGGAAAGGTTGAACCATGATATGATGGAAGATTGTAAGTATAACTGAAGTCGGCCTGGTCAAGCGTTGGTGTAGTTTGGCTACAGTTCTCACTAGGAGAATGAGACAACCAGATCATTGAGTGAACAACTAAGATCATCACCAATAGGCAGGAACTCGTTGAAAGGTACATGATAAGGAAACTCAGTCACCATGTTAGCAACTCCAACTAAACAGTAGATCAGTTTGAAGCCTTTGTCACCTTATCAAATGTGCGATCGTTTGAAATGCTGCACAACACCTGCATAAGATAGCCACTAAAGACAGCAATGTTATTCAAAGACTGCCACATAAATGATACAGTAATAAGAGGCATAGAACATAAATAAACTTCATCACAGTTAATCAGAGTATTGAAGATTGGGAACTCAGGTAAACAAGGAAAGTTCTGTCTGAGCATAATGAGTCACTCACTAGAAGAATCAACTATTACGTCTGTCCCTCAGTGCCGAATATATGCAGACATGGGCTTGCATTTTACTGGATTTGCAGTAATCGTAAAAAATGAGAGTTGAACAAAAGTAACCATATTTCTATTTTTTAACTGCTATGTAATACACAGGTGAAATGGGTAGAAAATGCAGCTGACTGCCTTCTTCCCCTATATTCTGGACAATGGATTAAACGATTGAGGCAACCACGTGATAATCTCCTTTCTCTTTGGTGTCAACTTAGGCAAAGAACTAAGCTACGTCGAATAAGATTGAAACGTGCCATCGCTTTATATCGTTGGATATCAAATTTGGATATTCTGTTCAACTGGATCCAACATTGTCAAAAGGAATTAGAGCGTATTGAAATGGATATATGGAATGTGAATTTGCAAACAATGATAAGGAATACTGATAACATGTAAGGAAACCATTTTTGTCATTTGGATCACTTTTCTCATTTCTGCTGTAGACTGATTGATCGGTAGGATAAAATGATCAGATCATTCTAATGAGGGATTAGTTATTCATGTCACTTTTATTCAGGACACTTCTCATGACCATTTTCCATGTCAACAAATCTGTGTATTTCTCACTGCGCATTGTTCTTTCTGTAAAGGAATTCGAAAATTACACAGTCAACATTCACGAAAAGAATACAAATACACATGCTGGTAGTAATAGTAGATTGCAGAAGGGAGGATGGGTGCACTATGAGCCATGTACTGAAATCCATCTCCTACAGGATGTCAACACATCTCCAGTTGTATCATTCATTAAATTTCGAAATCTGAAATACACTGAAAATAGCTTAAGACCTGTTACGTCTCTCCGAGTATTCGCATACTTAGTCTAATCAAATCACATGGGATCAGCATCCAGGGGGTTTACTGAAAGATTACAATACTGAACCCTTGTGGTTAAGGAAGAATTAAGAGTTAGCAAACTGAGTAGTTGTGTTCATTTGCAGCTCAGAAAGAAGTTAACGACTTGCTACCTCATCCCTCTAAACAGTTCGTCGGTCTGGAATATGTTCAAGTCAACTCACTTTACCACTGGTTCATACAGTTAAAGAGTGAGAATGGAAATGAAAGGCAACTGAAGTGCACAGATTGATTGTTGTCAGCTAGAAAGCGGTATCGAAGGTGGATGAATATCTCCAGTTGGGCGAGAATTCCAAGTTCATAAACTACTGAAAGTTGTAATCATTCAAAAACTAGTCAACATGATTGGAGAAAACATGAAAAGGGCATTGTCAGGCAGATGGATAAAATGACAAGTTCCGAAAATATGACGAGAACGAACTGAAGAATACCAACAATGACAATATCATATGGCAAAGCTGCTTCTGAGAATGTTTAAGGAGTAGTCTATTTCTATAGTATTATGTTCTGTTTCATATCTCCGAATTCTTTAGAAAAATTCCCATTTTGAGTGTAGGAAGTAATTATGTAGATGATTCAGAAGGACTGCATCTCTGAGATTAAAAGTCACTTTCAAATCTATAACAATCACAATGTAACACTAAAGCAACCGATATCTAGTCTTCTCCTTTTCACCATGTTTTAATTAATACAACGAGGAAACTTGACAGCCGTGATTATTCAAAATGGGTCCTTGACATGAATCTTCGAAGCTGTAGCTAGCCATCAGTTCATTTCTTGCTTGACGAATGTGAGAAATCCAAGGCTTCTACATTTTATGAAACGTTCGGTCACCTGTTTCCAATAATAGAATCTTCAGTCGAGAGGCCAGCCTTTATGGATGTCTTGTTTGTTGGAAACTGATGAAGTCAGTAGGCTAATTAGCTAGTTCACTTATTTCCTCTCCAACTGAAATGCATGATTTGGGAAACGCTTTACTATGCTCAATTCTGCTGCATGTAGCAATGAAGAAAGAGGAGTGAAGAGTAAAATTCGGACAGTGTGGTACAGTATGATTCGATTTTGATAGTTAATCTGGTAGTGTACACAGGGAAACAGTATCACGTCATAGAATCCAGCAAAAAATGATTTTTTCGCTGTGTCATACCAAATAAATAATCGAATGTGGGAGAAAGATAAGATTGAGTTTACAACAGACGTAGAGTCTCAGTTCCTATACATGCTCCACTTAACACAGGACATTGTGTAGATGAATCAGTGTCAATAAGGTGAATGAAGTAGCCAATTAACGTTGATCGATTTATTTTGCAATGTGTTTGCTAAATTAAATGCTGAGATATGGAGGTTCATTGTACTATATTGTAAGATGTTTGGAATTCATTCGAATGAGAATAGAAATGTTAACATGTTTGAGAAATTTCAGATGCTACTGATGACTTGATAGTCGTGTTGTTTGCAATCTTGTGATCATCCTACTTGACTTCTCAAATCATATCCACATTATCGAACCAGACTTGTGTACTTGGGTGGAAAAGTTTCCAACTTCAGTAATGATTGGTGATTCTACGAATTTATGAGGAAAAGTGATGTTTCTACAAGTTGCAAACACGCCTTATTGATAGGTCCCAATAAACAGGAAATCAGGGTTGTGTAGTGCATTCTGATGGTTGGCAGTCTAACGTGTAACAGAGAAAAGAGTTGTTAGCACTTGCTAGAGACTCTTGATCCTGGAACGAACCCTCCAGGAGGAAACTTATGTGAACAAGGATGAATTCAAATGATCCTATGTGTGTTGTTAACTGACTTCATGTTATCCAAGCAAGGATAGCCATTAGTTGGGATTTCTTAACTGGATTAATGCGGCATTACTTGAGGGTGTATACTTCTTGCGTATTGGTACTTGTTATTTCCCGTGGCTATACTCGTTCAGATCGCTCAACCTCAGTTAGCAGATGAGCTCCTATGCGAGTGCCTCGATACTGCCTGAATACATCCACTTTGGTGTTTAATGCAATCGGTCGTGGGTTGCAGTCTTGATGGAAACACAACTCAGTGGGGTGCAGTTGCATCCAACTGACCAGTCCAAAATAAGACGAAACATGTGTCGTAGATTACACTGCCACTCAACAAAGAGACTACAATGCAAACTATTACATAAATGGTTTGCCTAATCGGAATACATGGAATCCCATCACTATTTATCTGTTCTTTGATGCATTTGATGGTTAGTAAACGCAACTGAATGATAATCGCTCATAACAAGTGTATACTGATCACTAATGAGATAATCTTTACAGCCAGTTAAAGATGATTTTGACAAACAATGAATCTCGCCGAATCCCTTCAATAGAATGTTGCATAAAGATGGCAGATTTGAGATGACTTCAAGTAACTTTGACCAGTTCTCAAATACGAAACACTATTGTGGATAATTTACTCAGTAAAGTGGCTTTGAAAAATAATCCTAATATAGGCGGGGAAATTTAATTATGCATGAAAATTTCCATGGGAAATACTTCAGCAATTCCCTACATATACTGTACAACTAAACGTGTAACATTTTATTGAGAAAGACGAAAAGTGATAACCAATCTGAATAAAAAGGAAGACAAAATCTGCATTGTAAGTCGTCTGAAATGTCTTGTCCACTTAAAGGAGGCATGTGCTGCCTTCAGACTTTCTTATCATATTTTCACTACAAAACCCAATGAACAGTAAAACAATTCTAATCACTTTTTTCAACGCGACTGAATCACTCTGCTGACAATTGATTGAATATGTTCCAGTAAGGGTCAGTGTGAAGCTTACAGCTGGAATCGCCAATGTGCGCAAACAGCAATTGAGGTTAAAATAAGCACTCGGTGGAAGTCGCAGTGCCACATGAAAGATGAAGATGTTTTGCTGTCAAAATCCATGTAACCTGATAAGAAATATACTTGATTGTTATAGACTGAGAACGAGTTCAACAAGTGTTTACTGGATTCATTAACTGCAAATGAGAGTACATATTTAGTCACAGCTTTTGACAGTCCAAATTTTGAAAGGAATATTATCTTGCTAATTTTTGTAAGATAAAATGGAATCCGAATAGTGGAGATGGGAATGAAGAAATCAGACAAAGTTTGGCGTGATTCAAGTGACCTTCTCCCACGAACTGACTTCATCAAAGCAGATTTGGCGAGAATTGTAATTTCATGCACACCTGTAACCCTTAACCTGTAATTTATACTCACATTACACCCAGTATCCCCCCCACACTGAACATACAGAATCATCTACTCAGAAGATCTTTCACTGAGTTACACTTATAATCCCTTTTCATCTTGGCAAAACTATGGGTGACAAATAGCCAAGTGTCAACAAATGTATTTTTTGTTACATCCGTTTATCTGCTTATCGCTGGAGTAGATAAAGAGCAAAGAGTGGAAGAGAATTACGTGGTAATAGTTTACTATGCCATCGGTTCTCACCAGCTACACACAGCCTTAACTATTTGAAGCCTCAAGTTGCAACCGAACGTTGCCAGAATTCAATGCATTGAGTGTAAATCAGTCCGTTAGTGAGGTGAAACGGAAAAATAGCACTGCACAGGGAAGAGACTATGCGAACTGGATGGAATAAAGCGGATCATATCTTATCATTATGATAGTATTATTATTATTATCTTATTATTACGTCCTCATAAGGTCATTGAAATCAAACACCACAGACTATATTTTCACATTCAAAATGAATCTGTCCTTAACCCTCCTATCTCTCCGACAACGTAATCCTTTACTCTCTACTTGCTCGATTACATCATCACCTGTTCCAGAGATTTTCCAGTGACATTAAGACTGAGTCTTAATTGACAGTAGTCTACTTACCACACTCCATACTATTTTGTTTTCTGATTATGATTCACTTGTTCATACACTGAATTATGTAAGCTCGTCTCCTGATTTGTCTAAAATTCGTGTTACTGCCAACATTGTAATTTACCGAGAAGTATTGTTCGAACAGAACATAATGTCTATACAGTCATACATATCATGTCATCAATCATCTTCCCGCGTACTCTTTCGTCAATCTCACTCACTACGTTCATAATTCACCTTACTCACTGAATGATTTCTATGCATCGCAGTTAATTGTTTTAAGGTTCTGGTGGAATTTGATCTTTCAATTTTTTAGATTCCATGCAGCTGGCTTGAACCCATGAAAGAATAAAATAGTTCCAATTTATTCCCCCTAACAGTTTACTTCTAGTCTATTCTAGATGGTGATTTTGTTGCTCTCCGTTCACTGGTGCACTAAAATATCAGAATAATGGACAATATTTACCAAGTGCTCATACTTCTCTTCAGTCTAGAACTGTTTTATCATCAACAGAATATGGTGTCAAAAACGAATGGGAACAACATCATATTTTGTGGTCCATTAACATTTCTCAAGTGTGTTAAACAACACCTGAATATGATGTAATAAGAAAAGAGTTGTGTTGATGCATTATGAGTAGTATTTGAAGGGAACAGAACTGTTTCGTGGTTAACTGCGCTGAT